ATTCTGTTAAAATATTAATCTGACCCCATCATCTAAAAACCCTCCGATGGCTTCCTTTCTCACCAAAAAAAAACCCCACAACTGTATTATGGCCTTTGAGACCCTGCATCAGTGGTGTGCTGGATTAGACTTATACCAGCTCAGAGGAACTATTAAATTTCCAGGAATTTTTGAGAGCTGTTTGATTTCATGTTGGTGGCTTGAAATTGGTGATGGTGGGAGTATTTACATAAGAGAAATTGGCAAATGCTGCAAATCACGGACTTTTATTATCATCCTGTCTCCCCTCATTGAGGGACTGAGCCATTAAACATTTACCAGCACACCAGGGCCCTACGTGATTTATCCCACTCCATAACAGTCCAATATATGTCTGACATCATCCCTTCCCATTTTCCCATTTCCCCAACCTACGCCACTGGCATTTTTCTTCCTGCCTCGGGTTTTTAATGTACTGCTTATTTTTCCTGGTATACTCTTATTCCAGATTAGTTCCCTTAATAACGAGGCTTTCCTGATCATCCCATGTAAAACAACAAACCAATTCTCCACATCCACAGCATATCCCGAAGCACACCATTTTATCTATCAGCATTCATATCTTTCTGGTATGATCTAAGCATCACAAGGGAAGGTGATGTTATTTTGTCCTGCTATCTCCCCAGCATCTTAAAAACATAATTAAACTACGGCAAATAGTAGGGGCTCAATAAATGTCTTTCTGAAATAATGGAAAGAAATTGCACTTAGTGGTCTGAATCTAAATACCTATATTTCTCCATAGCTCTTTCTTGCACCAAAATGAGTTGCTAGAACATATATGCTGAGGATGGAGACCCAGATTTTTAACACATGAACTATGTTTTGCATTATATCCATGCTTTTTAAAAACCTGTTGTCCCATCTGAGCGTAACCATGAGTCCACACTGTTACTGCTCACTTGATGGCAGGTGTAACTATATCCCCAACTGGTGGAGGCAGGGGGGGGATGAAAACAACTCAAGTAGGAGGGAAAATGACCAGAACTTCATAACTGATTATGTCAAAATAGAGGGAGAGGTCAACTTACTCCAAAGCTTTATACCTGAGTTTCATACTCCAAAGTTTTTACCTAGGACAAACTAGGAGCTACCACAGGAAGAAACTGAGACAAGCAGCTGGTGTAACAGAAAAGCTGGTGAATTTGTTTTTGGATGAACTAAAATTAAAGTGGCTGGACGTTGTATTAGAAAACACACATAATGTGTCAACATAGGAATCATCAGCATATGCGTCATCTTTAAACTCCTCACCTAGTAGTCTCAGGATGCAGAAGTGGAGGAGGAGGAGACGTAAGGATGAAACACAGTTACTAATGGGTCATTGAATACAAGAAATCCCTGTAGTTCCATCAGAAAAACTGACAAAAATGTTTAAGCCAATAAAAACACAGGGGTCTGTGAGACAACAGCAAAATGTCAAATATATGTGTAACTGGAGGCCTGGCAGGAGAATGAGGTGGAAAACACTATTTCATAAAATAATTGCGGAAAATATCCAAAATTTGGTGCAAGATGTACATTTACAGATGCAGCTCAATGAACCCAAGCAGGATGGTAACTAGGAAAAGGACATCAGGCATAAGATACTTAAATGACCAAAAACCAATGTCAGGAAAAACCTTAACTGAGGACACTATGCCAAGGGAAACAAGCCAGTCACAGAAGGACAGACACACTCATACGAGGTCCCTAGAGCAGTCAGATTCATGGAGACCAAGTAGAACAGTGGTGGCCAGGGGCTGGGAAGAAGAGAAAACAGAGTTGCTTAATGGGTACAGAATCCCTGTGTTCAAGATGAAAAAGGTTTTGGAGTTGGATACCAGCCCAACAGTGTGAATGTACTTTAATGCTACTGAACTGAAAAGTAAAAAATGGCTAAGATGGAAATTTTTAAGTATTTTACCACAATTAAAAATAGTAACAAAATGTTTTTAAAAGAGAAAAATCTTGGAAGTGGGCAAAGGAAACTGAAATTACATATACGAGAACAAGGACGTGTACCGCCATGGACGTCTCATCAAAAATAATGGTCAAAGGGTACAAACTTCCAGTCATGAGTATGTCTGGGGATCTAATATACAGCATGGTGACCCTAGTTAGCAATATCTTATAATATACTTGAAAGTTGCTGAGAATAGATCTTAAATGTTCTCACTACAGTTTTGTGAGGTGGTGGATGTGTTAACCTTATTGCAAGAATAATTTTGCCATGTGTATGTGTGTCCAGTTGTCATGTTGAGCCCCTTACAGTCACACAAATGTTGTCTATCAATTATATCTCAATAAAGCTGGGGGGTGGGAAATCAGAGATGTGAGGATGAAAGCAGAGTCAAGAGTGAAATCTGAAGACATTATATGGCTGGCTTTGAAGATGAAGGGGCCATGAATTAAGCAGTTCAAACAGCCTCTAATTGCTAGAAAGGCAAGCAAATGAGTCTCCCCCAGAACTTCTAGAACGAACACAGCCTTGCCTTGTTTTTGACCCAGTGAAATCCACTTTGGACTTCTGACTTCCAGAACTATATGATAAATCTGTGTTTTGTTACAAGCTGCCAAAATAATAACGAGAAAACAGCAGAGCAACAACTTTAAAGTGCTAAGAAATGTCCATCTAGAATGCCACATCTAATGAAGATATCCTTCAAAAAATTTAGACAAAGTACACATTAAGAGAATCTGCATTAGAACTACATTATTAGAAATGCTGCAGAAAGTTCTTCAGGCTCAGTGGAAAGCAAGATTGAACCCTGGATATTCGGAATGGAATCAAGAGCTTCAGAAAAGGTTGAGTAAACATTAAAATCTGTTTTTCTTTTTAATTTCTCATAAAGTATTTGCGACTGTTCAACTGTTTAAAGCAAAAATAATATACTATGGGGCTTTTAAGCTATAACATGGTAATTGTAACATAAATCACAGATCACTTTGGAGAGAATTGATATCTTGAGTCTTCAAATCCAACGTATATCATTCCATTTATGTAGGTGTTAATTCCTCTTAATGACTTACTTCCAGTACTTAGGTCTTAAACATTGTTTATTAAATGCATTACTTAGTATTTTAGGATTTTTGATGTATTATAAACTATTTTACCTTTTTTCACCCGTAGTTTACTGCTACTATATATGTTGTTTTCTGTATATTAACTTCTATCTTCTGATCTTACTAAATTCACTTATTTGTTAAAGGAATTGTGGTTTTCTAAGTAAACAATCATTTCATCTAATAAACTTTCCTCCATCCTTTTGTTTCCGTAAACCTGTTAAGTTCTTTCCTTCCCTTATTAAACTGGCTAACAATATATATGCTAACAGGCTTGGGAGAAAACGTACTGATGTCTATATCTTACTTTGAAAGGTAGCAAACATAACTGAACTGAAGAATGGAGAATGGAAAGACATGTGATAAAACAGCTGATTAAATGTTCACTGTAAAACATTGGTAAAAATGCTCATTTCTGTATTTTGGAAACTCTAATAATGTGATATTAGGAAAACCAAGCAAGGATCATTTTGAAAGATTGAAAATACAAGGTAAAGGACAAAAGACATTGTATTTTAGGGAGGGTAAAATTGATGAAATCCAACACACGTATGGAAAGATCAGACTTAAAATGGCAATGAGCAGCTTCTTTTATATCTGGAGAATAAGATGAATACAGTGAATATTAACATCAAGTACTATAGGATGCACACATATTTGGTTTGGTAGCTGCCTGCTAAGGAAGTAAGATTATCTGTTCTAAAGTTTTGAAAGAGGCATTGTGGAGACTTCATCAAAGAACGGGCTCATTGGGCAGTATTGGTGGCTGTGAATTTATTAGAGTGGAGCATATGTTCAGCTGCCTGGATCGTTTTTGCATGGGCAGAACAGGACAATAATGCCTAGCTCAAACATTGTTAGGAGAGTTTAATGAAAGAATGCCTGTAAAGAGCCTAGCCCAGCGCCCCACATAGAGGTAGGTAATGTTATTCTGGAAAGGCTGTGTCAAGTTCTTTACAGGCCTACCACTGCCAATTATTTCGCAAAGCTGCTCTTCAGGAAGTTGCTGAAGTTTCTTACGCTGCTGTTTTAATGAGAAACTAACTTGCAGGCAATCGCTAATCAAAAGATCTGCAACAGACACAGAAGGTACTAACCCACACAGGTACCATGTACTGTTTATAACCAGCATTAGGCTGCAGTTTAGACAGGAGCTAAGGTTCATGGTGGCCACTATTTTTGTAAAGCTACTGGAAGTCATTTTTTTTATGTCTTGAAAAAAAATCTGATCAAACTGATAAAAGAACACCGCATGATAATGTTCCCGATTTCCACAGGAATTGTAAACAGGAAAGAAACGAGGGGTGAATCGCTAGTGAAATTTAGTTCATCAATTTGAAAAACATGAAGCAATTATATTTTTCTTGAGTACTAGGTACAGGGAAAATCACTGCCAAGAGTTGATTTTTTACTTTTTAAGTAATGTTTTGTGATTTGGAGTGCTGTAACTAGGAAATATCATTCAAATTCCCGTTACTTAGTTCTGATATACTCGGAGTATAGAACAGCACTTAAGAAAAACCCCAGCAAGAGTTTCTGTTGGGATGTATATTGCGTAACTTCTAATCTTAGGAACAACATTAACATCATAAAAACAAAATGAGAGTCGAGCAGTTATCAGCACCAAGGCAGTTAAAGACGCTGTCAGTTTTGTCCTAGCCCCGTCCCCCTTCCCTGCACACAACAAACACATCAGCAAATCCGTCCACGGAAAGAAGTGCCTGTGAGGAAGCCCTGGGATCCACACGTAAGCCAAGGAGTCTGGGGGGTTGAGGGGGTGTCACCCAACCATGCACTGTGCTAATAGGCAGACCTCAGTCCCAACTGTTGGCCCTGCCATGGCTGGTAAACTGGCCCCTGTGCCTCTCTGCCACGGTCTGGGAGCCCCTGGAGAACAATTTAAGATGATCACTTACAAAGGAGACTTGGTGGGAGTCCAGGTTTCAGGAGGCGTTCAGCACTCCACTGGGGCAAATGCAGCTTCAGACGCACTGAAGTGGGCAGAGGAGCAGTCTGGCTTTACCCATGTTACCCCTCCCCCAAAGTCCACGCAGTTTGGGGCCAAAAGAGATCTCACTTCACCATAATTAACCCAAAGGGCAAAGGGAGCGCTTGTGAGCGAGCACCCGGCTTCCTCGACTGTACATGCTGCTGCCAAAGAGGCGTTTTTCTTTGCCTCACCCAGAGCACAGAATCAGAAGCTCCACAGTTGGGAAGGGAGCCGGGGCAGGAAGTAGGCAGGCAGCAGATAACTGCTGGAGGAATACAAGGGACTCAGACCCTAACCATGTTGCAGATTCCATCAAGATCCTCCACCTGGGCTGCTGGGAGCCTTCACGTGTGGACACCCCAGCTGGCTTGTGGGCGCCCCCAGCACTGCACACCTCACCTACACACCTCCCCACCCCATGGCCCGCTGCCTGTGCGTGCTCCCCATGAGGGCAGCGGAGGGAGCCTTGGAGGACAGCCAGTGAGCCCGCACTGAACTCGCCAAGGTCAGGCCAGGCCGGGGTGAGACCACAAACTTGAGCTTTAGTGCCACCTTTGGGAAACAAGAGAGACACTGTCAGCACTTGGCCTGTTGTTACAGGATTCAGAGAAGGCTTAAGCCTTAAGAATTCCACCACAAGAGGGAGCATGAAGTGTGGCACAGGGAACCCAGAAAAGGTCTGAGATGGCCTCAGGAATAACAGCTAACAGAAGGCGCCCCTCTCAAAAGCAGGTAATGAAGACTGGAGGATGTGACTTCTGAGAATGGAGCCTTACACAAATTGACTACAGTGTTTGACTAGCTCTTGAACAAGCAAATCTAAATGACAGCGAACAGATCAGCAATCACTTGGGCCAGGATTGGGGTGGACGGGCTTCCAAGGGATAAGGAAGGAACCTTTTAGGGTAATGGGAACTGTTATCTTGATTGGGGTGGTGGTTGCACTGAATATATGTCAAAAATCAAACTGCAAACTTAAAATGGGTATGCTTTATTGTATAAATTATACTTCATTTCTTTGAACCTGTTTCTCATTTTATAGAACAGAGACAATACCTACCTCATGGAGTTGTGAGGCTATAATGAAATAACACATGTAAGGTCCCAGTCCAATGCCTGGCATATAGGAAGCATTTCACTCTCTGTCAGTTCCCCACCTGAACACTTCCTGTTTGTAAAGAGCTCTCATTTCCTGTATCACTGTAACTGCTGCCGGACAGTTCTTCATATGGAACTAAAATGACCGACAGCCATTGACCCAAAGTCTACATTCTCTAGTTTCTCAAACTTAGGTGTGGGCCAGAACCACCTGAATGGACAAAACAACAGATTGTGAGGCCCATTCCCAAGGTTTGATTCAGTAGATCTGGAACGAAACCTGCAACATTTCTGAGCTCCCAGGAGAGGCCAGTGCCGGTCCAGGGATTCTACTCTGAGCAGTACTGCTCAAGACAAAGGCAAATTTTAAGGCTGCTCATGCTTGCGAGTACAGCATTTTAAACATTAGAAAGCAGTTACCATATTTATTTCACTTTTTTCCAAATTAAAAGTCTTAGCTCTTCCAAACCCCACCCTCCCAGTTCTTCTGTTAAAATGTCATATCCTTCCTAACGTGCAGTCCGCAGGGCTGACACTGTCAGGTGGGTCCTGACTAGGACCCAAATAAACAAAAAAGGCAGCCAATCTTCTGTCTTGATCTGAACTTTCCCATACAACTAAAACTGTTTTAGGCTTTTCTTGTGTCTGTCAACTAAACACTTGCTGATAGTTTATCACAAACTGATAGAAGAGCTGGTCTCCCTAATATCCTTTATAGAGGTAATTCAACTTACTTAAATCTAAAAGCTTTTATTTCACCTTGTTGGTTTAGCTTTTATGGAGTCCTGTGTCTGCTGCCCACAATTAAAGAAATTGTTCAGAGCCCGTCACACAAGTTTGTCAAGCAAATAGTTTGTTCCATGAACCAAACAAAGTTCTAAAAACTTAGAAAGGATTGATCCAAAGGACAGGACCCATGACATCAAAGCACACCTCATGTTACTATGTTTCAAATTAATCCTTATACTTAAAAATATTTTTTGAATATATGAAATAGTTCCTTCTTGAAGGAAAATATGATTAAAGATTATGAATTACCAAACGAAGAATTATATACCTGTGTCCAAAAACAGTCACCTGAAGATAGAAAATAATCTTTGCTTTTTTATGTGTAGATTCCCTCCAGCAGGTAAGAGAATGGGTGGAAAATGGGGGGATCAACATAGTACACTTGGATAACAAATAAAGTAAATTAAAATCATATTCCTGGACTCTAAGGTATCCATAGTTGTGTCCTCTCAACATATAGTACAGGAGCAATTATTTAACTTAGAGGATAATGATTAAGTTATCAGAGGAATTATTACACAAAAACACAAATAAGATATGATTAAGTTAGTTTATTTTACCTGAAGCTCTTCCAATATAAACAATGTAAATGCTGATACTGAGAAACATTGGGAAGAATTGCTGATAGATGTCAAAACACCATGCCTTCCAATCCATCCTCCATGAACTTCTTATAAAGTGCCATGAACTTGGCCACAAATGCTTCCAAGTGATAAATGGCTTTGCTACCCAGCTGTAGACGATGTTCATAGTAAGCTGCCATCTGGGCCACTTCCCCTTTAAGTTGTCCATCACAATTATGGAGAAGTTCTGAGAGAAGGCCCTGAAGAAAGATAACTAGTAATTAAGAAAGTAAGCATTTAAAAAAATATTACTGAACAAGCTTCATTTCTCTCATTCAAAAAAGAATTAGAACAGTTAAATGTTCTTTTTATTTGTGAAATCTTTCTTTTATATTGAATGGTAGTCTTCATTCAAAAGCAATAGGTTGCATATTTTTCTATAATGTAAAAAAATGTGAGTTATCAATCATATTTCAAATGCCAAATATTTAATGTATAAGGGTGCAAAGATATAAGCACAAGATGCTTATGAGCAGGATTATTACAATAATCATCTGTAGAAAACCTAAGGTTCCACCAATAGGAGGTCATATTTTAAAAAATATGATATGGTCACACAACAGAATCTATTTATCCAGTAAAAAGAATGAGGCCAAACTGTACCGTCGTGAAACACCCATGCTATGCTCACACTGTTGAACAAAAACACACAGCGCAGAACACTGAAGTTCTGCAAAAACACGTTTGGTCTTACTTCTATGTGACTAAAATAAAGGTTGGTTAAAAGTGGTTGTTACCCTTGTGGAAATGGAAGGGTGGACCTTCACTTTTTTTGTATATTGGGTATTGTCTTAAATACATTTTTCATTTTATTACCATGTAATTTTAATTAGTATGAACAAAACTCTCTGCCTTCCCTAACATGTAAGTCAATCAATATAGCTAGGTAGCTGACAGACCAATCTATAGCTGTGCCTTCCAGTATCCTTACATAGTCTAGATTCTGCCTATTTCCTTAGCCTCATTCCCCACGTGCCGATCACTGCCTGAAATATTTGTTCTCCATTTATATGGCTGCCTTATTTTAACCGAGTCTCAGTTTAGACATACCCTCCTTAGAGAAGCCATCATTGACCTTCCATAACCTTGCTCACCACTAATACCATTTCACCTTGTTCCCTCCTTGGTAGCACAACATTCTGAAATCCTCTTGCTTCTTGTTTCCCCATTTCACCCACTAAAACGCAAATCCTCTGAAAGCAGGCCCTCCCCCAACAATGCCCAAACGGTGCCTGGCACATAGCGGAGGCTCAGTAAGTACCTGTTGAATTAAGAAGCTGGGGAGAAAAAGGCACCAATGTAACTCAGTAATGCAAAAGTCCTATGATCACATAGTCAAAGTCCAAATTTTATGACTATAAATAATTCAAGACCTGACATTAAATTACCTTCATTATTATTTCAGGAGGAATACAATGAGTTAGAAGCTCATAGAGTCTTCCACGGACTTCAAGGAGTCTATTATAAAACAAAATAGCATTTTGTGATGAAAATAAGGAGCAGTTTTTCCAAGCACCTACTGTTTTAAACTATCCAACACAGCCATTTTCTTAAATGATTTCTCATACTCAGGATTCACGTACAGAAGCTTTTCCAAATTTCAGTTAACTTTTTTAAAAGAAAACTTTCAGAACTCTTTTAAAGTCAGTTATTTATATTCAGGGTTATTGATCATATCAAAATACTATGGAAGTACCAGATAAAAATAATGACTTCATGATTAATGAGGGTTGAACTTATTCACACAATTAATTTTGCCATACTTCAATGGCCTATCAAATAATATGCTTATTTTTTTCTCCAGATAGATGTATCTACATCTCAGAAATGGTCATGAAAGATCAAACCATCACTAGTCAATTACACAAGTGAGAAAAGAGCATGAAATATACTATAAAGGTACCACCTTGAAGGTATTGTAAAAAGCAATAAGCAGGGGAAAGAAGCTGCCCTGTCATACAAGGGGCAGTAAAAGAGCTTTGTCTTACTGCAAAGTCCATACCCTTCTAACACCTGACAGAGCACTTTGCCCTTCCTCTGTACGAGGTTCACTTCAGTACACTATCTGCACCTCACATCGCCACTCTCTCATACTGAGAAGTTAACATTCAGAGATGAAGGTTCCATCAAAAGTCATATAGTTGAGGCAGCATTTTAATTCAAGTCTTGACTCCAAAGCCCTCAGTCCCTGTTGGACGTGGTAGTGTATCTCGAAAATAAAACCTGATTATTAAAGCATAATAGATGAAATGACAGAAAGCATGAAATTATCTTAATAATTAGTTTATTTTTGAGACGTTGCTTCAGAATGTACTTACCTACACCACTGCACGCTATAGAGTGTGCATCTATCTCATGCATGTTCACATACACCTAGAGTTCATTTTTAATATGATTTAGTTTCTTAAAAATGAATATATTCTACATTCACTATGTCTGCCTTCATTATTTCTTGAGGACTGCAAGTGCTAAAGAGTACAAGTTCTTCTGTCAGAGAAGCTTGGTGTTCTAGACCTGTCTCTGCCTCCTAACTCACCCCTGAGTGAGTCTCCCAAAGTATCAATGTTCTTACCTACAACATAAAGATGGTAAAACTGTTCTCACAGAACTGCTGCATGAATTAAACGAGAAAATACAGTATAAGAACTGACTTAACAATCACTCACTAAATATTAGCTGCTATTCAAATTAGAAAATGATGACTCTAAGACAGATACAACAGCAAGACAAAGGGTCAAAACTCCCAAGTGGTCATCTGGTTCTGTGTGGGCCACCAACCAGAATGGCGCCAGGCCTTGCAGTGTTTCTGGTCAGCCTGAAGGCTGTCTGCAATAGTGAGAAGTCACTTCTTAGGTGGCAGGGAATCAATTCCCACAATTGTTAATCCCATCAGGAAACGGCAGCACCTCTTCTTGAACAAGATCATTTATGAACTGCCCAAACCTGTTTGGAAAACTGGAGGAAAGGGTAGCAGCAGCTCCAAGAAGCAAACAGAGCAATAATCAACTAAAGTCTTTAAAATACATCTGATAATTTTTAAATATTGCAACATTTGGACCTTAACCTCTTAGCAGTAGGGAAGTTCTATTATCACCAACTGCTCTTCTCTACAATTAGAGCAGAAACAAGAACACCATCTTCAGTGTGGAAATATTTTATAAGTAAAAGGCTCCTAAGACATGCTTTGTTATCTTTTTAAAGATGGATTTCTTCACTGTTTATCAACAATTTACAAACGAAATGCATACTTTTTCCTAAAGTCAAAGTTTCTTTTCTGAAGAGACTACTTATAATGTTTGGCACTTTTTGAAAACTATTAAAAATGTCTTCAACTAAAATAATCGAGTTTTCAGAATTCACAGCAAACCTTGATGAAATACTAAATACCCATTATGTATGACTATCCACCTACATTAATCTATATGGTAGCCAAAGAGTATACATTACAATCCTTTTGAAGAATCTTTGCATAAAATATTCATGAGATATATCACCCAAGAGGAGAAATGTGGTATATTCCTCTCAGGATCATATTCACATTAAGTCAGGAAAGCTTAAATTTTACTAGTTGAATTCAGTCTCATCTGTTTCCTAAAATGATCAATTATACTCTCTGAAGTCCAAAGATGATGGCAAACTGGCAACTACAGTAGGAGAGTGTTTCAGTGGGACTAAGCGACTCTCTCCAGGCTTCCCTAAGTCTGGGAGTACGGAGACCTTGAGACTGTCCCCCCTGATTCTTCACAAAGTTAGCATAAACTAAACTAATGGTTGGTGTATTTTCAGGAAGGTGCACTACTGAATAATAGATCCACAGAAGGAAGAATTATATTACAAATGTGCCAAAAAAATTTCCTAAATACTAATGACATATACAGAATATTCTTAAAGCCTATCACCGTACATGAACACAGGGTTTTTGGATTCTGAAACCCGGATGGTTTTACAGTCTCTTCTGCTTTTCATCACAAAAGCCTAAGTATCCTTGGCAGGGTAACATAATTAGTATCTTCATTATACAAATGAAGTTGAATTCTAAGATGAAGTTACATGTGCAAAGACACTTAGCTAAAAATCAGAACTGTTGCATCAATTGCAAAGCTATATATTGTTCTTTTCAATATCAGAAACCTAGACACATTATGTTATGTATGATTAGTAAGTCATCTGAGATTTTGAAAGGAAAACTAAAACTATATATAAGTTCCACATTTACACATCAATAGCTTAACAAGGCCATGATACCACACAGCAACTAATTTTAACCACTAAACTTCTAAAATTAAATCCTACCTTTTCTTTACAAGTTTAGTGGATTAATAATTTATCATTTTAAATGGGATATTGTTAGTATAAAACAGCTAACCTAGAACTCAGAATATCTGTACTGTCTTGATGATCAAATTTTTAGTCATCTTTTGTCCCAGTTACCTCTGTGGGGTCTGCTGACTGACAATCAAATTGGCGGTCTCCCTCAGATACACCTCCCAATCTGTTTCAGGTATTTCTTGATCTGCAGTAAAAGGGTATCTACACGACAAAAAGAGAACATAATACATTAAATGCAAGTGTGCTTCTGTCCCAAAAGATTTCCCACTGGGACTGCCCTTTCACTCACTGTTGCACTCTGCAGGCTTCACACATAAGTAGGGCTTTTCTGAGGTTTCTGCAGGACTTCTCTGCAAGTCTCTGAGCCAGCTGTGAAGGAAGACTCAGCCCTTCCTTCTTGCACACAGTAGTTAACACGTGACAAATCTATGAATAAAATAATTAACAAAAATGGGCAATCTATCAAACAGCATACTGAGACAATTTCTGTTTACAACATCTTTATAGACCCCTCTCGCTTTTCATTGTTACCCTACCCTCACCCACACGTGCCTTAGCAGGAACTGAGAGCCTAGCCTAGCCGTCAGGAGGGGGCAGCAGGGGGCTCTGCAGCTAGAAGACCTGGTCTGAGCCCCACGCCCACCAGCCTCCCTGCAGCAGCTGTGCAGAGCAGACACAGGGTCCCAGGTCTGTGGAGGGACCCTGCTCCCAGGGCAGCCAAGCAGAGCTGCACAGGCTGAATTCTGCCTGACTCAGGGTGTTACCAGCACGCGCTACACTGGGAATGGTGCCCACGAGAGTGCTGCAAGCTGGCAGTCCTGCCTGTTTCATAGACCCTTTTAACTGTATTACTCCCAAAATTTTTTACAATGAAACTTTTAATAAAGGTGTTTTACCATTCTGCAACTAACACAGTATCACAGATTACACCCTACTTTGAATAAAATCACCCAAAATCTATTAACAGAAAAGCAGTTTTAGTGTGAGAAATTAGTATTTTTACTGATATAAAGAATGATTAAAAAAAAAAAAAAACTATGTTGTTCGCAGACCAACTTTGATCTTCAACCCAGGGATGAGGCATTCCCGTATCATCATCTTGCAAAATCCATTTCCTCCCAACTCAAGTCTCCTCAAAAGCCAATTAAATCAGCTTGAGGTAGAAAACATTAACTAGTCCTTACCTACTTGAGTAAAATTTGTAATATGTATTTGTTTAAGGTAAAAGATGATTTAAAGAGAAGAACTCTTTCTATATATTGGGATCTGGTATTTACTACAATATATATTGGTGTGTGCATCTATTAATGGCATCCAGGCCATCGGTTTTCCTGAATTACTGAAACAGGGATGTTTTTACAAAACAAACATGCCAAAGTTGTACACACAGTATTCACAGAATATGAAGTGGATTTTTTTTCTGAAAAGTTTGACTTGACTTACATCTTTAATGCTGGGAGCAGGCACACGAACTGCCAGGCACCTACTACGAATAGGCGGTATCACTTTAGATGTAGAATTGCAACACAAGATCAGTCTGCAAGTGGCCATGTACTTCTCCATGGTTCTCCGCAAGGCATGCTGGGCGTCCTTGGTGAGTTTGTCCACCTCTGTCAGTAATACCACTGAGTCGAGGAGAAACAAAACTTTAACTCGAGTATGTATCTCCTCCTCTTCGTCCTCATTATTCAGAGTGAAATCCTAAATAATAAGCCTGATATATCACTCTTCCCTTTGGTAAGGACATACAAAAGTCATAGGTATGATGAGTATGACTCACCATTTTTTTTTTTTTTCAAATTAAGGTACATACAATAAAATGCACAAATCTTTAAATGTACAGCTTGGGGAATTTTGACATGTATATATACCCACATAACTATTGCCCAGATCAAGATAACAGACATTCTCAGTAATTTTTCCCCCTTCACCGATTTCATCCATCCCCCAATCCCCCTCCCTTACAGAAATCAGTCTATTCTGTTTATAAACCTATTCTAGTTTTGTTGGTTCATTTGTTTCATTTTTTAGATTCCACAAATAAGTGAAATCATATGTAATTTTCTTATTTTTATTTGTAAAAATTCTATAATTAAACCCAAAACACTAAGTTGAAGAGAGTTGTTTTTTTTTTGGTAGAATTCATTGCAGCCTTTATCATATTTATATACACCAAGAATCACCAAGACAAGGATGTACTATGTTCATTTCCCCCAAATGTTTTATCTCAGGAACACACTTCTGTGGAACATCTTAAACCCTGGCATTCTAAGGAATATCCTTCTGAAAACCATGTGCCAAGAGATGTAGCCAAAAGGCGTAAAGACATCTGGTCACTTGTACAGTAAGGTTCCACCTAGCCATAATCAAGGATTAGGGTGTTTATGGTCTTAAAAAGTGTTTCAGTAATAACATGTAAATATGGACTGAATCCAACTACTGTACTGTTCATTGAGTTATTTTTAGAAGATGTCAATGGTAAGCAGTGTATCATCTGAATCTCCCCCATAGAAACAAAGAGAGAAATTCCAAGACCAAAGAACTATGGACAACATTTATATAAAAACTAAGTGATAATCTCTACCTAAGAAGCCTCACCATGAGCAAAAACAAGCAGCTATGTGTGGAAGGATGTGGCTGGGATCCATTAGGTTTCTGACAGCCTTTAAGACAGGAGAACCCAAATCACCCTCGGGAACACACTGGAAAGCATCATGGGCCAACTTCAGAAGAGCACCCACGGGGCTCAATTCAACGGTGAGAGCAAAGAACCTTCACACAGTAAAGTTTCATAGAGCAGCAAACTGAAAACAGAAATGAAGCTCCCTTCCAATGAGGAGAAGCTCTGAAAACAAGAATCCAAACTGAACAGGAAAAAATAGAGATAAGGAAATCGATCCCCAAACCTGACAAAGACAGCTCCAAAAAGTACTACAAAGCAACTGATACAACAATACATCACTGGTAGGCCAAAGGAGAGGCATCCCGTAAAAGCTGACACACCGAGACCACACGAGGTTTCCTCCAGAACTGCACGGCAGTTTCACTGCAAGATCCAACACAAGCCGCGGCACTAATAGAACTAAGAAGAAAAATCACAAAACCACACTCATGGATGCAGAACTGACTTAACATACTCCCACGTTAGGAACCATCACTAAAACGGGAATTGATGATCTTACCGTGATCATACAGATAAACCTCAAGCCAAAATCCAGCCACTGAATGGGGAAAATTTAAGCTCTCCTAACAGGAGTCATGACAAGGATGCCCACTCGCTCTCCTACTATTTATTAAACCCTGTATTGGAGGTGCTGGCAAACATAATTAGACACGAGAATGTATTTAAGCCATATGAATTGGAAAGGAAGAGAAAAAACTATTTCTATTTCTATTTACAGATAATACAAATATATATCTGAAAACTCCAAAAGAAACAATGGTAAGACTATTATAAATAATAAGAGAAATAACATAGTAAGAAATATGTATTTATAAAGAAATAAAATTGATACAAATTCATTAGCTGTCATATATGTAAACCAAAAAATTAGAAAATATAACAGAAGAACAGAACAGTAGCTCAAAAATGTAAATTTATTTTGAAATGCAGAGACTGAGAAGGAAAGATAAGAAAGAGGTTGGAATACACACAGTGTTTGGGAGTGCACAAACTATGGTGGTAGCATGAATCTGTTCCCCTTCAGATAATGAATTTGGCCAACTCGAGAGCATTAAATGTTGGCATACTTATCATCACAAAATCGTCTGTGGGAATGTATGCGTATAAATGATATTGGAAGGCAATGCCGAAAAGGTTATTAGTAACTGTCTCTAGTGGGAATATTGCTGATTTCAATTGTTTCTGTACTTAAATATTTGATAATGAACATAAAACTTTGGTCCTAAGAATAGCTGTTTTTAAATCATGTCATTTCCTACTTTCAATAAAGTATTTTTTCATTACTCATCTACCTCTAAAATAACAAACAGTCTTCATTCCACCAAAGTCCGATCATCGGGCAACAGACGCCCATGAGGCCCGGGACCTTGCCCATCTTGCCTACTACGTCCCAAAGAACAGGGCCTAATAAACTACTGCTAACGGGATGAATTTACATTTCCAATCACATTTTCTCTCACACCCACGGCTTACAATGTGGTATCTGCCTCACAGAAAGACACCTGTTGATCACAAACCTTTAAAATCTCTTTGAGAGTTTGTTTCCAGCTGCTGTGACTGGGCCACTGTTTTCAACATCTCCTGAATTACTACCCGGTCACTGTTTCCAGCGTCACTATACAAAACAAAAATAATGGCAAATCTGTGTGTAAATATTTAAAAAGTATTGTGGCCTTAATCTTAATCTGTTATTAGGAGAAAAACTTTGAAGATCTTAAGTTGTTAAAATTTTAATCAAAATTAATGCCTCACTACATTCACAAAACTTTAAAAATGATATATTTTTGGGTCATTAAAAATACTAACAATATTCCAATATTCAATTACAATTTGATTAACATCACTGAAAAACACAATATGTTCTTACATTAAGTTTACTGCTACTAGGATAGGTAAATAGAATTCAAGGTACAAAGAAAAAAAAAGCTTATTTCTATATAGAGCAGCTTACCTGGGATTAACTTCAAGGTGGTAATTGCTTGCAATAGTGCTGATTTCAATTTTCTTTTTAGATGGAGTCTGGACAAAGAAAATAAATGTTTTTAATGTTTATTTACTGGCTATTTCTCCTCTTTCCTGTATTTATTTATAACAAAAAACTTTACTAAACAAACTTTAACCACCACTAATGTTTTAACTTCACTGACCCCATTCTTCACTATGTGCAGATAAACATAAGCTCTTACATTAACTGGGTCATAGCACACACCGCTTTCACTGTGATTCCTTTTTCCTCTGCCTCCCGAAATCTCCAAGCCATCCCATTAGGAGCAGACTGCCTTTGTAAGCAATCTGTACCTGCATATTTCCTTTTACAGTCTTTTCCATGGTAACACACAGACAGAAACACATGCATATGTATAGATAACAAATACGTAATATACATTTATACATTTATATACTCAGCATTTCCTATAAAAAATAAAAATGAGAAAAGAGGAAATCACATACATTTCTCTGTGTTTTGCTTTTCCTACTTAATACATCTAGGCAATCCCTCTTAGACAACTGGTATAGGGTATTATAGTTGAGTATCAACCTATAACAATGATGTCCCCAGCTAACCGTAACAATGGACACTGTTTTTGGCTTTGACATCTCAAACAATTCCCTATTGACATATCTTGTATGTATCTCTAATGCACTGCTTTTGTTTCCATGCAAAAGATTCCCAATAAAGGGTTTAGAATGAAGGGGATATGTTTTCTAAACTTTAATATATACATATGTGTGTGTATACGTCTAATTATAACCAGCTTGCTTACCAAAAACATCTAACAATTCACTTTTCCTCTCCAACTGACCTCAACTACAGGTTTAATATCATGCCTTCAATTTTTGTCAATTTGTCCATAAATAATAGACTCACATTGCTTCTCCTCAACTATTACCAAGGTCAAACATCTTTACTTGTGTTTATTGGCTGTTTATATCTATTTCCTCTGGTTATTTTTTATTTTGTTTTCTACCAGTTTATTTGTCTTTCCATTGTCAACTTGTAAAATCTTTTATCTAACATGTTCCTTTAAAATATTTTTTTGACAATCTTTCATTTTTCTATTGATATTATGTATGTTATCTTGTCAACATTTTAAAATTCGTTTGTATCCTAGTATGTATTTATTTTCTTCTATCACTTTCATGCTCTCTATTAAAAGGTATTCTTGACCCATAGGCTGTTGATATAGTTTAAGAAATTTTATTCTAAGATACTTAAGTTACATTTTAACATTTAAGTCAATTAATTCATCTGGAATTTGTCTTTATAAATTATGTCACCGGGACTCAACTTTTTCTTCTGGAAAGATAACTAGATATGTTAGCACAGTTTGCTGACTTCTCACGTTCCTGCTGATCTGAAATAGATCTTCAATCATAGTTCTGTGCCCTCTAAACATGTTCCACTAATCAAATTCTCTACTCCCACGCCAATACAATATCGTTTTGACTACACAGCCTAAATATGCTTTAGTTTCTGGTAACGTAAGTCCCATTTAACAAATCTGTTTCTAAATTGCTTTAGCTAGTCTCAGGTATGCACTCTTCCATATGTACTTCAGGATTTTATACAATTAAAAAAACAAGCCGGATTTTAACTGGAACTTCGTCGAAATTTATACTGTAACTTGGGGAGAACAGATATCCTTAAATAATAATCCTCTCATCTGAGAACATGCTGCATCTTTCCATATAATCAGCTCTTGCTTTTTTGTCCTTTTATAAGATATTAGTTTCCTCCTTAAAGATTCCACACCTTTCTTGTTAAATTTGTCCCTGTATTTTATAAGAATTTCCACCTGGATGTACCATCAGCACCTCAAACTCAGTATGTCTAAACTCAAGCTCATCAACGTTGGCTAAACACTCTATTAACAGCACTACCTACCATCCACTCAGCATACATGTTTTAAGCGCCTAATACATACAACTCACCACTACACAAGGAACTATAAGGGATACAAAAATGATTGTGACATGTTCCCTACATACATAACTTCAAAACAAATACAATCTTGTCAAAGTAAAAGATGTATAAAAAACTTTAGTAAGGCAAAACAAAACTCTATGCAGTATAAACTACGGGGTGCGGAAGGACAAATTAATTCTAACAGGTTTGGGGGCACGTGGAGAGGAGACATTTCAGCTAAATCCCAAACATCATCTATAAGGAAGGAGAATGAAAATGCCTTGCATGGTGTAAGGCTGGAAGGCCCGTCCAGGGCGAGGTCAGAGCATTCCAAAGCCTCTTACTCCATTTCTCAGTCACTCAGCTGCCCGATTTTTATCAAGCCGCCTGATTCCATGTTTAAAATTTTTCTCAAAATCATTCCCTTTCTTCCCAAACCTACTACTACTGTCAGAATAATGTACTTTAGAAACTCAAGTTCCAGTTTCAGCTGACACACCGATTTCCTGGGGAATTTTAAATGAATCTCACCACCTACACGTTACCCAAAAATCTCCTGCTGTCCATATTCCCTGTAACCTAATTGACTTTGGCCTGGTTATAACAGCTAAGTGGATAAATGAGTAGCTCTCAACCCTGTGCACCAGGGTTACCTGGGAAATTCTTCCTTAAATCACACATTGAGCAGCACATCTATCATGATTAAAAATCCCAGCTATAAATATTTGAGAGCCTCAAAGTGAAATGCTTACTGTGATGGTTTGATGTTCAATTCTTAATTTTTCTACGCCAACGCCATAAAGTTCACGTAGAATACACATAATTCTTGTCTTTTTTCCAGCACCTGACGGTCCATACACTAACAGATGAGGAAAGTCACCACACTGCACCTGGGAAAAAAGAAGGTGGAAGCATTTTGCGTAAACAACTGCTCTATGTAAAATTAAACTGCTGTCAACGATCTGTATGTGTATGGAGGGTGTGTGTGTGTGTGTGTGTGTGTGTGTTAACTGCTGTCAACGATCTGTATGTGTATGGAGGGTGTGTGTGTGTGTGTGTGTGTGTGTGTTAACTGCTGTCAACGATCTGTATGTGTATGGAGGGTGTGTGTGTGTGTGTGTGTGTGTGTGTGTGTGTTAACTGCTGTCAACGATCTGTATGTGTATGGAGGGTGTGTGTGTGTGTAGAGAGGCAGAAGAAGGAATTTTTTTAAATTAACCCTGAAATGTTTATTACTCCTCTAGCATTAATTTTATATAATTATATACCTAGCATAGTACATGCAAGATAGGACACTCTCTGTCTAGAAGGCAAGAACTCCCACACCTGGCTAACTGTAACAATCTCCCAGAGAACTTTGTAAAATAAAACTTTAATCTTTTAAAATGTAAGAGTCGCTACTGGACCCCACCCATGAGATTATGATTCAGTAGCTGAGGTCAATGCCTGCCTTAGTTTGGGCTTCCACAGCTCCTTTGCTAACAAGGGAGAGTATTCTGTTCATTTGGAAGGTAAAGGAGAACTTTGCAGGGGAGCAGAGAAGCAAAACAAGGAAAGGAGGGCAGCCAGTGAGAGTGTGTTATCAGCTTGGCTCCTCTGGACATCTGACGGGTGACCCTGCTGGGGATACTCCTGCAGCCAGTGCAAAAACTACACTAACGGTGTTAACTTACCCCAAGGGAGGGAAGCTGGATATCAGGCTCTCTTCCATCAGTCTTTTGCTGAAGGCTGCTTGGGCACGGGGATAGGGAGGAGATGGGGGGGGTAGGGAGGGCATTAATTCCCAGGCATCTCAAGTCCATTTAGGGGTGTCAGCAAAAGAAAGCCTTCCAGAAGTGTGGATACAGGGAGTCAGCAGCCGGTCTGTGTGCACTTACCAGTTAAAAGCAAGGGGTAGAGTAGGGCACTGACAGTGCTGCACTAGACGGTAAATTTGTGTGCTTTTTTTAAAGAAAGCCTCCCAGGTGACTGTGATGACCAATCTGGTTTGGGAATTAGCGCTACAAAGAGTATAAAGATGAGAACACAGGCCTTACTCAGGTGCATAACATCTCATGGAGCAACAGTCTTGTAAGTAATCATTACAAGAAAAAAATGTAAATATCTTAACAAGTTAATTGCAGTGAATTTTAATACTTTGTAAACTCATCTACCTGTGACACTGAAAAAAAAAAAATGTTCCAAGGAAAGAACTACAAATCCATGTAATACAGTGCATGGAAAATAGTAGGTGCTCCACAAATACTTGCTACCTTTGTTTTTAAATTTTTTTGAAACCGAATATAAAGGTTATACTTTAAATGTTTTATTCAGTTGTACATTCAACAATGAAAAGGTGGACATTTTTAATAGCAAATTTATTAACACCTGTGGGGAAAATGGAAGATCCTATGGCCAGGATCCTCACCCGAACCTAAGCTACGTGATGATGTAACTGGCCTGCTGCTAGGCTTCTGCGCCCACACCCTTACGCAGTAAACTATTATCGACTGAGTCACTACATAAAGAGCTCTGCCCAATGCTGGACAGAGGCAGAGACAAGGGAGGATTACAGACCTGCAGACTGTTGGATGCACATGTAATTCTAGTGCTCGACCTATGGCTGGGAGAACAAGCCGGGTAATAAAAACTTTTACCCCAAGAACATTCCACTGTCATTCCTCGGTCTCACTGAAACCATAGGAAGGTGACAGGGGCTGAAACCCATTGGCAAGACAACACCTAAGTACAGTATATTGAATTCTTTTCCAAAATATTTATTCCAAATTCTATACAACTAAAAGATGGCCACAGAAAATACGATGTATCATATGACTAAGAAAAGTGAAGTGTAAGCTATTGTGAGAAAATGCAATTTGTCTAGAAAAGTATACAACTGTAATAGATTTGAAATTAGTATAGATGGAATACCAATAATTAAAGAGAAACAAACTTCAACCTCACAATGCTATCAACTTTTCTAATGACTTTCATACATAAAGATGGAGTATCTTTATTATTTATTTTTTAGAAGTACTTAACAACTAGTATCTTTAATCTGTAAAGAGGTGGGTATTGGAGGCCCAGAATGCTGAGCAAAAAAATACTTCCATCAGCAAATGGTATTTAAGGTCTTTAAAAAGAGTGGATAAAAGGCTTCCACAGACACTAGAGTTTTCTCAAGACCCTTTTCCCTCCCAATTCCCTACAAGATTCAGTTTACTTTTTTACAAAACAATGCCATTAGACACTTCATCAACCACACACACACACACACAAAAGTATCAGGATGGAGAGAAGGGGAAAAAAATCTTACGTAAGGAATTAAACTCAAGGACAACCTAAAACAACCTGTTTCAGAGTTTAAAATGGCTTTCCTTTTGTAAATGACACTAAGAGCTTTTAAGTAAGGTTGTTAATAAGTGAGTCGGAAATGTCACGTTTCTGCCCCGAGCCTCCACCGGGCGTCCCAGCCCCCTCCGCCCGGGTCACCCGGCTCTGCACCTCCCGCGCCCCGCAGGCAGGCCCCGGGTCCTGCAGCTCTCCGCGCCGGCCCTGGCGGGGTTCCCGAAACCGGCCGTGCGCACTCCGGCCTCGGGAATGTCGCGCCCGCTGTTCCCTCTGCCTGCTCCCCTTTCCCCAGATCTCCGGGTCTGAGAGCTTCCTCACTCCCAGCCTGGGCTCAGAGGCCGTTCTCAGCGAGACCTCCCCGCTTTACAGGCCGTCCCCGTCTCCCCACGCCCTCTCCCCCTCCCGGCATGACTTCCCCACCGCGTCCCCCGCATCTGCAGGGAGTGGGCGATGCACGGCCCCCGAGACGCGCGGACCCCGAGGGAGGCAGCCCCGGGGGCCGCCCCTCGCCACGCCCCGTCCCGCCGACGCACCAGGTTGCGCAGCCGGGCCGCCTGTTCCTTGTGATAGTCCAGGCGCCCCAAGGAGCAGGGTCGGTACTTGTCCACCCAGAGGCTCATGTCCGCTCGCGTCCCGGGATCTGCTGCTTGAAAGTCCCGCGCGCGCGCGCGCGCACTCCTCCCGGACGCCGCGCCCAGTCCTCCCGCGAACTCGACGTCTCGTGACGTCACTACCGGCCCAGGCCGGGAAAGGCTACGGCGGCTGAATGGGGACAGAATTAGCCACGGCATAGGCGTCATCTAGTTATTGATGTTTATTGTTTTATTTAATCATTTTCTTTTTCTTTTTATCACCTTCAAAGGTAACCCAGAAGTTACTAAGCAAAACTGGAAATTTGGCTCTGATACTCGGGGCGTCAAAACCAGATACCTCTAAGAAGCCACGTTCCTCGGTTAATTTCGTTCATTCGTTCATTCATTCATTCACTCGTTCTACAGAAACCTACAAATAAAAAATATTTACTGTGTTACAAGGTCTGTTATTCGCACTAGGGTATGTCAGATTTAGGAGTTTTCTCATTTTGGAGGCGTTCAATAAAGCTTTATTGAATACATTTCTAGAAATAAAATCTAACCTTCACTATTTCCTTACCTCCATTCCTCAAAATTCTTACTGGGTTGAAAGCTAGAGAATCAAAAGGTTATTTAAAAAAACTACTAATGTGCGGCTTGTAGGAGAGAAGACGGGCGGTTAGTCTGCTATTTTAAGTGCCAAATGTTTGAACAACCTTCTGATTCAAATGAGAATAATGTGAAACCCTTGAGAAAATATTCTGCATATCAAACCTATATAAAACTCATCTTCTATGAGCTTTATATAAAACCCTCAAACTGTACCTCTCAAAAGCACTTTTATAATTGTACATAATATTAATTCCTTATTTAATTTATACTCTTACATATTGTTCAGAAGACTTTCATTTGAGTGCAAGGTCTCAGTGGATAGTTGATTTCCAAATAGGTTTAATGACCTGTGAAAATACCCTCTCTCATTCATTTTATTAGACAAGAATTTACTATACTCTTTTATAAATCATTATATTTACTTAGTTATTCCCATGGACAAGATATTGGACACAAACAATACCACCACCAAATATAAGATATAGTTGCTGTTCTCAAGAAACTTTGTCAAACAAGCCTGGGAGGCACTTACGTACGGGGGCCTTTGCAATTAACTGTTTCCTCTTCCTGGACTCCGTTTTTACAATTGTCAACAGAGCTGGGTCCCTCACTTCCTTAGGGTATTTTCTTAAATTCCTCTATTCCATGATGTCTCTCTGACCATACTACTTAATAACTGCAAAACCCTCTACATTCCCTGGAGCCTCCTCTGCTGAACTGGGATTGAGGAAAAAATGAAATTAGAAAGTAAAGGATGTCAGAAACAAGAGTATCAAACCATCATCTATGTGGACATTGGAATCTTGAAAAAAAATAATGGAAATAATCACTCAGAGGAAGAGAATGAACCAGGTGCTGAATTGATCAATGAATTGACAAGAGTGACTACGAGCCTGACAGACAACTAATTCTAAAAACAAAACAAAACAGCAGTAGACTCATAAACGCTGAGAAATGACTGGTGGTTACCATGGGGAAGAGATTGGGGTAGGTGGGTAAAATAGAAAATAAACATATTGTAGCATGCCAGAATTCCATTCCATTTTAAGGATGAATTATATTTCACTGTAGATAAATACATAATTTGTTTATCCATTTATTTATCAGTAGACATTTGGGTTGTTTCTATCTTCTGGCTTTTGTGAATAGTGCTGTTTAGAACATTGATTTACAAACATCTGTTTAAGCTCCTGCTTTTAATTATGTAGAATATACATCCAGAAGTAAAATTACTGTATCACATGGAAGTTCATGTTAAATTTTTTGAGTAACTACAATACTATTTTCCATGGTGGCTACACCTTTTTACATTCCCACCAATAGTGCACCAGGAAGACAATTTCTCCGCACCCTTGCCAAACAGCAAATCTTTTTAATTTAGCCATTCTGGGGGTTTACAGAGGAATCTCAGCATGGTTTTAATTACCCTAATAATTAATGATGTTGAGCATCTTCTCTTCCTGGTGATCAGAATACACTTTTGCAAAGTGCCTGTTGAAGTCTTTTTGACAACTTTTTATTAGATTGTCTCTTTCTTATTAATTTGTTTCTTTTCAAAAACATGTATTGTAACTATCATTTTCCTATGTGTGGTGTGGTTTTGAACTCTCTTAATGGTTTCTTATGATGAACAGAAGTTCTTAATTTTAATGTGGTCTCATGTGTACTGTTTTAAAAAATCTTTGTCTACTCCACAGTTATAAAGATGTTCTGTGGTGGGGTTACTTTTAAGCTTTATTATTTTATTATATTTAGATTTTAAATCTAGTGGAGCTGATTTTTTTTGCATACAGTGTATGACTTAAGGGTTAAGATACATATTTTTCCATGTGGATATCTAACCCCACTGGCACTGTTGATTGAAAAGTCCTTTCTCCACGGCACTAAAGGACTTCCTTGTCATAAACCAGATGACCATATCATGTGTGGATTTGTTTCTGAACTCCTAATTCTGTTCCATGGATCTACTTGTCTACCCAGGCACAGATATTGCACTGCCTTGATTACTATAGATTTATAATAGATCTTGGTTTCTGGTATTTTGACTCTTTTTGTTCTTCTGATTCAAGAGGACTTTGCCAGTCTTTGTCCTCTGCATTTTCGTATAAATGTTAAAGTCAGCTTGTTAATTTAGCAAAAATCTTAGCTAAGATTCTGTTTGGCATTGCTAGTTACTGCCATTAAATTCACCTTTGAACATTTCAAGATTTCATCTGGTTGATCTTAGAAATCATAAAATATAAATTGTTCCACTTGAACATATTACAAACCTGTCACCCGTTTTATCTTAGCCTTTATAGATGAAGCTGAAATTTCAAAAGTGAAAAGGCACTTTTTCCTGCCTGATTTGACCATGATATGTATTTAACACATCTTCAGTCGCCCTTGCTACCTTCTTGAAAGGTAATACGTTAAAACTGAAAATAGTCCCTCATAGATGTTAAAAGAGAGAATCTATTTTACATGAAATGACATCAAAAACCAATTATAACTTGTAAAACAGAAAATGTGATTAAATGTCTGGTATAAAGAGAAAACAGGGCCTTCATTCCTAGGAGGCTCTGTGGCTCTTGTCACTGATATTACTTCATTTTGATGTTTTAAAAATGATCAATCTGTAGCCTCTGCGGGAGGGACGTTTAAAACAGGAGATCGCACAGCAGAGCAGAGCAAGAGGACATTCTAGGGCACAATGCAGGAAAATGCTAGCGACAATGACAGCAAGGTGACTCAGGCTGGGACAGGATGCAACCTCCAGCAGATAAAACTGACATCTAATGTGCTCACACATACTGCAATTAGATTTGCACATATTGTAATTAACAAAAAAAGGTGCATTAAAAAACTAAGCTGAAGGGAAAACCAAAAAATAAAAATAAATTCCCTATTTGTGAATAATGCTGCTGGGAACAGTCATGTACAAATATCTGTTTAAGCTCCTACTTTCAAGTCTTCAACATTATCACATTTTTCCTAAAATCACAGCAGCTCCTTACCCCATATTGTTCGATGTTTTTTCCGGTTTCCATATATTGTCTTCTGCAGCTGTTTTTAACCAGATCTTTCTTATAATTTCGACCTTCAATCTGTATTCTGAAATGCTACAACTTCTCAGTATCGTGGAACAACTTGGTGTGATACAGGGAGAGCTTTGTTCTTTCACTTGGTTAGTCAGTCAGGTAAGAGGCAACCACTCATTCACTGACCAATTACTGTGTGCCTGATGTCTGACAATTTGCTAGATATTTAAAAAATATCAGAATAAGCTTCATTTACCCACAATGAAAAAATGTTTATTTATATCTTTATTAATATTTTAGGGGTATGAATTTGTTCTCTAGCATTCAAACCAAAATAGCAGTAGGATTTAGAACAAAAGAATACGGAGAAGGAGTCGTTTGTCAGAATCACAGCAAGGTGGGGATAAGACTAGACACCTGCCTGTTTAATCTGCTGTTGTTACCGCGGGGCCACTCGGCCAAGTCCCTGAAAGGCTAACATCGAACTGTTTTTAAGGGCAGATGCAAAACAAAGAATAACCACCTGCAAATTACATTTGCTTCTTTGTTCCCTACAGTTCTAGGGTGCAAACTGTTCCTTTTTTCTTATAATAAGGTAACTGCTGTTCATTATAGAAAATGTGGAAGATAGAGATGTATACTCCTGCCTCCGTATTTTAAGCTGCATTATCTCCATTGAGTGAATTTGAGTCCTCTTGTGCATACTAAAGATAGGTGGGATTCCAGTACCGTTGCTACTGTATTTCCAGAGGAACAAAACACTGAATCTGTGATGAGTCTATGATCATTTTCAGTAATCTTTTGGTCCAGAACTCCAGGCACTCACTATACCAAAACAACTTCTGTCTGTGCTTAAGTGGTTGACACCATGTGTTACCCACTCAGTTTGGGGAGAATTTGAGTAACTTTTTTGCTATCTTTTGTTTAAATCAAATATCTACTTCCAGATGGTCTGTAGCTTTATATTCTTTCAGATTTGCACATTGTTCTGTGTGAGCTATTGCACACTCCCTGTACCAAATTCCCTACAAAGAATCATGACCTGGTGCTTTCAGATGCATTCAGTTGCTTTAATGACCTCTCACTGGCAGGAGATGTTTCATAATTCTTTTTGAACATTTTGTTGTTGTTACTGTTTATAACTTCTTTCTACTATGTATGTAATAGTATCAATACCCTTCTAATCACCTGTCCTCCCTAAAAGCAGGCATTTAATGAGAAAATAACTGAACATTACCATTCCTCTGAAAATGATATTTAGTCTTAAAAGAAATGGCAATAGTGAAAAAGAAAAGATAATGAGTTTTCAGAGTGAAGTATAGAGAGAATTTCCAAGTCAGTTGTGTAAAACTTCAGAATTTGACAATAATGTTCTTACTTACAGTGTTCTTATATGGGGCATCCTTAAAAGCTCTCAATGAGTAAATTAGCCATGCGTACAATGAAGGGGATATAAAATGAATAACAAACAGGTTCTATTCTCAACACCTGATGGAATGATTAGTATAGATGGGAATAACTCTCATGAAAGGATTATGTGATAAAGTCCTTAAAGAAGATTCATACATTTTTATACAGGCTCAAGTTCAATTCTGGGTTGACTGACTAGGGTAGCCTTCATGGAGGACCAACATTTGAGCTGGGCTTCAAGGGATTTTTGGGTGGGACTACAAAGGACATCGCAAGGGATTATATTCCTGGCATAGGGGATTATAGAGCCAAAGGCCAGTAGATGTTAAGACACAGGGCATGATTCTGTTATGGTGAAAATTCTAAGTGAAGTAGGGGTAGGAGAGAAGACTGGGAAGAAAAGTAGGGACAAATGTGGGGAAATTTAGAAATGCCAACCTTTGCTACCTCGTTTCCCACCTATTTTAAAATTTATTTCACATTAAATTCTATATTTTACCATCTTTACTCTTTTTTTAACATGACAGACTGATTGTATATAAATAAAAACATAAACATTCAATCCACTGGTAACTCAGAAACCAAACAGCGAACAATGGAAAAGAAAATGTGAAAAGGCCAGGAGTGTGGCACGTTTGCCATCTTGGTAATTATCTCTTTCAAAAACGGGAGGGAATTCCCACTTCTGATAGGAGGGACTGTTCTTCCGATGTGGAGTTTTTAAGGCCCCAATCATCTGAAATTTCCCCAGACAAAGCAAACCTTCTTGGACAGTCAGTCACGAGCAGGGCCCTGACAAAACCCCAAGAATCTATGGCTGGAAGGGCCACACGGAAGGAAGTCACTCTTGTTTCTGGTGGGGTTTGTTTCCTTTTGAAATACACTAATCATAAGAGCAAGGAGAAGGGGAAATTGAGTAGAAAAAGCAAAGAAATTTATAAATGATGGTCTCATCCTATTCTTTTATATTTACCAGTGTGACTTAAGACTCTACTCACCTTTGTCCTATCATATCAAAATAATGTTGTTTTCTTTTAATGTGTTACCTAGAGTTCCCAGTTCTCACATCACCATAGTTAAGAAATGAACATGAAACATGCAATACCAGTGTCTCCTATGTCCTCAACTTTGCACTATTTTTTTATTCTGCTAGTGCAGCCACATTATCACTTTAAGAAGCACTAGCAGTAGAGCCATTAATGAAAACAGAGACATAGGAAGACAACAATTTAAATGGTTTGAAATATACAAAATGTAAACCTAAATGCAGTGATTTTGACATTAATAATTACAAAGAGCTTAAAGAGATCATTAATCTGTTAACTTATTTATTCTTTACTTAAAATTTCTATATTTGTTTTAATTCAAAACTTGGAGATTCAAATTGAAAAATTCAGAGTCATTAATTTAAAGATGGAGGAATTCTTTTTCAGTGTGTACATTTTGACCAAACAAGACAGAAAGACTCTGACACATAGTTTAGGTAGAAAGAAAGGTAAATACATTTATACTAAAATGGCCAGTTGTTATTTCTTTATTTCAGAACTTCTATCCAACTTATTAAAAGAAAACCTAACAGCAGAGAGGCATGGGAAGGGATCTCAGCAAACATAAAAGGTTTTATGGTTTTTTAAAATTTTTCAGTGCAGGTGCTGTGAATGATCAAATCTGTTAAAATAAATATTCATTTTTTGATATGGCATGAGCATCAAGTCTTTCTTTTTCTTGAATGCAAATCTACATTGTCGAGGGTTTTTTTTAAATTTCTGTTTTTTCTTATCACTGCCACCCCTACCCTCACTCACCCAGCCTCCCGCCAACACCATCCACGTTCCTCTGTGAGCACAACAAACTGGAATGCCACCAGGGACCAGACAGCAAATACGTGATCTAAGCTTAGGAAGGGTAAAACCACCAGAGAACATAGAAGTTTCTCCTCTCCAAAAGTGGGTGACAGCTCTTCAGTGTCACTTGATCACCCTCAAGCAAGATGCTGGCCCAGTGGTGACAGAACTTCCTATGTTTAGAGAAAAGCCCGAATCCAGAAAATTTTTTTGCAGTCTCCTGAGATAAACAATGACCCTGGTCAGGCCTCCAGAACATAACTGCAGACCAGATTCAACCTGCACTCCTTGGCTTACAAACCCTGCTTAGACTTTGTTTAACATTTCATTAAAACCTTTACAGAAAGGAAAGAAACAAAATCAAAATCAAATCATGCAGTGTTTGACTTACTTCCCTTGGTATTGAGGTATTACTTCTTGCTTGATACTGGAAGGAAAACTTTGGTATAGGCAAAAATTGAACCAACTGGAATGCAAGCAGCAATCAGGAGTCCATTTTGATTATCAGTGACGCAAACATGCAAATGTCGCCTGCCTCCTAGCATTGGCGGATTCCCAGTAGCTGATAAACTATTATCTGGAAAGCTATCACTCTGGTTTAACAGGTTAATGGAGTTTTTCTTGTGCTAGTTTACAAAAATGTATAAGAAAATCCATTTATCTTTTCCACATTTGAAGACCAGTCACGCTTTTCTATAAATAATAGCTTGTCCACAAAGGATACAAATGACAGAAAGCAAAGCATACCTGACCGTTGAGTGATTTATTTCCACACGAATCTGTTGTATGGAAATCAATTCTCCATTCCATTTCTGGAATGAAAAGGCTCAAAAATCACTTTAGTCTCGTTTATTCTAGGAGATGGACAATATACGTTACAGCCATTAGTTATACTCCTATGAAATACAAAAGGCTTTTATTACAAACAATGTGATTATACAAGTAAAATTTCAAGATTTAGTAATGACTTCTAACAGAACCCTACTGATTTTTCTTATATTCCTTATTCTTCTTATTTTATGTTTCTGATACTCTCCAAAAATCCTGCCAAATTCCTTATCCCTCCTACATAGGAATGATCACATTTTGTAGGAACCACTTATGCATAAAAGGAATTTGAATTATCATGTCTTTTCCTATGGTGCTTTTGAATATTAGTCAGTAGAAATATAGTTGCAAGAACAGTTATGTTTATTCATGAATTTGAGGACATCTCCATTTTTAGATATTTTCTTAAAAGCTATTAATATCTTGAATTTACTTATAATATTGCTTTTAACTATTAATAAGAAATTTCTCCTGCAATATCTAAGTTGTGTTTCATTGGTGAAATTAGACACATTCTTTTTTTTAATTCTAAATAAAATAGCAATTATTCAAATCAGAACATGGTTTTTGTGGTATACAATTATCCTGGTTTGTCCACCTTTGAACAGGAGTATATAAATGAAAAGAAAGGTTAGCTTTACATTTATAACAGTACTTTACATTTATAAGCACCCTCCCCTGAAAAAAACATTGAAAACCATGGCCAGCTCTAAACAACACCTATCTTACCCTAATATCACGTGTGCTTCCATCAAATTACAAAATTTCAACTGCTTTATGTAGGGTAGGCAGTCTACTATAAAAACAGACCCCGAAGTATATAATGGCTCAAAAATGATAGAATCGTATTTGCCAGGTATGTGAGGTCAAAAATGCGTGATCCTGAATCACCAGAGGCTCTCTTCCAAGTAGCAATACTGGGTCATTGCCTCCTCTTATGTTTTCTCTTTACCACTGTCACCAGCTGGCTTCTAAGGTCACCATACTTGTCTGAATTAAGTCATTGGAAAGAGAAAGGGCATGCACAGTCACATATGGAAAGTCTGTGCCCTCCAGGACTGGGAGTGGCATATATCTCACTCCCATTGGCTGGACTTGATGACACAGCCACAATAACTCAGGCAGAAACTGGGAGAAGTCGCCTGGCTCTATGTTTCAGTCTATGAGAAAATGGGCTGAAGGAGCAAAAAGCCAACCTCTGCTTCACCAAATATCTGCGATTGTGCGGAGGTTGCATGATCTTTGCAAAGATGTTACATGCTCCGTGAGAAATAAGATAATACTAGATTTGCCATCAGAAAATTCAGGAATGTACTAATTTTAATAGAGATTTTAGTACATATCAGAATGATCTTAAATCAATCGTTAGGAAGTGGTCCTCAGCCAAATATAAAAATGAAAGTCGGTATCAGTATAGCCCCAAGGTCGGTGGAACTGGGAAGCTTATTACCCAAGGGGAAAAGCAAGTAATGTTGTGTTTGGCAAACTTCTAAAAACAACAGTAGAAACAACAAATATATCAAATATGACAAAACTTTTTTCCCTGTGCTTCCTGTGTTATTCCCATAACAAATTATGACAAATTGGGTGGCTTAAAAGAACAGAAATGCATTCTTTCACAGAAATCCAAAATCCAGGCAGCGGGGGCCCTTCCTGAGGCTCAGAGGGAGAATTCTTTCCATGCCTCTTTCTGGTCTCTCTCCTGGATCGCTGGCAATCCTCTGCATTCCTTGTTCACAGACACATCATCCATCTCGCCTCCCATCTGCATTTTCTCTGTGTCTGTGTATCTCAACTCCCCCTCTTCTTTATCTTATAAGAACACTGATCATTGGATTTAGGGATCACCTAAATCTCAGGATTAATCTCAGCTCAAGATCCTTAACTTAATTTTATCTACAAAGCCCCTATTTCCAAATAAGGTCACGTTCACAGGTATCGGGAGTTAAGACCTGGACATAATTTTGGAGGACTCAATTCAACCCATGATGATAACCCACGCAGGTTTGACACCGAGCTTTTGTAGAGTGAAGGAGGCCAGAGACAATGAGACCCAAATTTGAGTTGATTAATGTAGCCCAGGGGCCGAGGAGGAACCTCCACTCAAAGTGAGCGCTGTCTGAGAATTTTATTCAGTCTTCCTTTTTAAGCTGATGTAAAGACGGAGTCTTGTTTTTGTATTTTTCTGCATGCTGCATTTTTCTACTATTAGGAGTGTGGGCTTTTTTCATTAAATAGTTTGAAACGGTCAAAGTTTTTGGAATTGTTGAATCATCGTTACGTTTTTCTTTCCCTCATAGCAATAAATCAAAGAAAGACAACATGCAAATGCCCCTCTTCTTGCTCACATTTTCCTCTCTTTATTACAATTTTACTCACTAGTTGATTACACTCCATGTTTCAGTTAACTTTTATTTACAGTTTTGAAATAGGAACCTCTGAACCATGAAAAGGGCAAAAATTCAACTGAAGTTCTTCAATTCCTGCATAAAGTATATGTGTATATCTGCTTGATAACTAAGTAGTTTTAGAAACATCCACAGAGACTAAACTTTAGTTTTACTTTAAGAATTTAAAATATCTTTTGAAGGGAATGAAAGTAAAAACGAAGCAGTTTGCATTTCGGCAACTGTGTTTACAGACCTCTCATCAGTAGGTGACAAATATCGTGGAACACAATGTCATATTTTAAATGAATTTTACTCAGCAAGAGTGTGAATAGAAAGGTTTGGAAGAATTTAAATGTAGATTCTATATAACTGGTCTTTTAAAAAATTCTCCCTCAGAAATGTGGGATCCACACATAAATCAAGTATAAAAATCAAACGAATATTCATATTTGACCTGACTGTTTATAATTCATAATTCATGATCAAAACCGAAAGTTTCTGTGATGACTGCCCTTGTACTGTTCACCATGTAAGAACTTATTCACTATGTAAGACCTTGTTCACCATGTAAGAACTTGTTCGTTATGCTTCAGAAGATTGGAGACTGTTGAGAATTAGGCTTGGGGTTGATTAATGATTGTGCATTGAGCATTGACCCTCCTATACAGAATTTTATTGTTGTTAACAACCATTTCATCAATAAATATGAGATGCCCTCTCAAAAAAAAAATCACACTAAATATTTTAAAAAGTCTTTATAATAAATATGGGACACACCTATACTAAAACAGTGTTCAATGAAAAAAAAAAAATTCTCCCTCTATGGTATAGTTAAATTCATTCCAAACTATTAACAGGGTACCTGCTTTGAGCTGAGTGCTGTTTTCCGGGCACGACAAACAGGCAGACCAGGTCCCTCTTTTCATGGGGTGTCATTCTAACAGGAGGAGACTGGTAAGGAATAAGCACAAGATGGCTTCAGATATTGACGAGTGCAATGCACACAATGATGTAGGGTGATGTGCCTGAGTGTGCCATGAGGGTGTGGGGCCAGGGATGCCTGCTTTAGCTGAAGCAGTCAGGGGAGCCCTCCCAATGAAAATGATGTTCAAACTGAGATGGAAGGTGGAAAAGGAACTTTGAATACTGCTGAAGTATTAATATTAATATTAGGCTTGTATTAGTGAGGCCACATTCATTCACACTCACATGAAGCAAAAGCAGTCAAAGGAAGAAAAATGATGTTATCTTCGGGACAAGATTTGAAACCAGGAAACTTATTTCTGAGCTGATGACTCATCATAGCTCTGGTATGTATAATAGAGCCAAATACCATCTTGTATGTTTGGCCAGAAACCAACTGAAAGCATTGCAGACCCAGGCCTGCGGTCCTGTGCCCAGATGCAATTTCCTTCTGGGCATGACAGCAGCAAGATCTTAGCAGCAAGTAGCTGTAACTAAAGGTTTAATCTGAAATCCCAGGAGCCTTTTCTCCAATCTCCCATCATTCCCTTTTCCTGGCCCACAACCAGCACCCAGTTTCCTGCTACCAAATCTTCCTGGTTCCTAAGGTTTAGAGTCAATCTAGAATTGCTTGGAGGGGCCAGGAGGATGTAAAACAGAGCCTTCTTTCTGGTAGAGAGCAGAGAAAGGCTTCCCACTTTATTTCCTCAATCTGTCAGTGGGGTAAAATGATGGTCTGGTTAGAACCATGCAGCAGAAATACTTTCCTTAAAGCTGTGGTCAGATTTTTCTTTACATTGAAAATCAAGCTTTGGATTCAACCCAAAACCAATCCAGTAGTCGTCATTACCGTCATTTTTCTGCTTTAAAAAAACTCAACTCTACTGAGGTATAATTTACATACCATCAAGTGTGTACAAGTCAGTGAAGGCAAAAGTAAATGTGTGTAAATGCTGCCTAAGGAAAAAGTAAAATATTGTCATCACCCCAACATGCTCTGGTGACCCTTCTCGTTCCATTTCTGCCCCCATCCTCAGTCCCAGGAGCACTGGTTTATTTTCTGTCACTACGTATTTGTCTTTCCTAGAGGTTTAATTTATGTAAGTGGAATCTGAGTGTATGATCTTTTGTGTTTGACTTTTCCCATTTAGCATAATACATGGAGATTTATCTGTGTTGCTCCTTGTTTCAGTAGTTTATTATTTTAATAGCTGAGAAATATTCCATCATATGGATATACCACTATTTCTCTGATCATCTTTTGGGACATTTGGGTTGTTTCCAATGGGTTGCTAATATGAATAGAGCTGTTATTAAAATGTGGGTATAGGCTTTTTGTGGACATATGCTCTCTTTTTTCTTGAGTAAATACCTGAGTGGAATTGCTGGGTTTAAAGGTAAAGTGTATATTCAACTTTATAAGAAACTGCTAAATAGTTTTCCAGAGTGATTATAACATTTTACACTCCTACCAGCAATGTATGAGAGTTCCAGATGTTCCCATCCTTGCCAACAATTGGCATCTTGTTTGTTTTTAAAGACATTTGACTGAGTGTATGTGACATCTCATTGTGATTTTAATTTTCATTTTCCTGATGGCTAATGATAGTAAATATTTTCCACATGCTTATTGACCATATGTATGCCTTCCTTTGTGAAGAACCTATTACAAACTTCTGCCCATTTTTAATTGGGTTGGTTCATTTATTGAATTCTAAGAATTCTTTACATATTGTGGACATAGTCCTTTGTGAGGCACATGTATTACACATACTGTCTCCCAATATGTGGCTTGCCTTTTCATTTTATTAATGGTACTTTTCAAAAAGTAAAATAGTTTTATTTCTCCTGTTATGTTGCTAATTTTTTGCTTGTTTTTCTTGTTGTCATATCCCTAAATTATGAATATAGAGACACTAAGATTATAATTTGCAATAGTATATATTGCTAAATATTAAATGGGTAAAAAAAATTACACTATGGCATTGAAAGAATGTTCTATAATTATAACTGCCTGTATTAGTTTTTTGCAGCAGCTGTAACAAATTACCCAAATAGAGCAGCTTATGACCCCTATTTATTATCTCAAAGTTCCTTAGATCAGAAGTCTGGTCGCTCTGTAGGTCAGGTGGTTCTCTGCTTCCAGTTTCCTAAGGCCACGATCAAGGTGTCAGCAAGGCTGCACTCCTTTCTGGAAGTTGTGGAGTTGAATCCACTTTCAGGCTCACGCAGGCTGCTGGCGGAATCTGGTTCCTCGCAGCTGGAGGATTCAGATCTCTGATTCCCCACTGGCTGTCAGCTGGGGATTGTTCTCAAGGCTGCAAACAGTCGCTGCATGCGATGCAGAGCCAGCAGTGGCTTTGAGTCCTTCTCAAGGTCTCCGGGCCCTTTTCCCTCATCCCTCTTCCCCTCCTCTGCTGCTGCATTTTTGATGAATCCTCAGGCCTTCCTCCTCCGCTTACCAAGGGTTCGCATGATTAGAAGGGGCCCACTGAGATAACCCAGAATAATCGCCTTATTTTAGCTCAGATGATTAGTTACTTTAATTATAGCTACAAAAGTTCCTTTGCAGAAGTACCAAAATTAGTGTTTGATTGGATAACTAGGGGATGGGAATCTCAAGAGATCATCTTTAGAATTCACCTAACATACTGCCAAACTTACATGTATATTATATATGACAAATGAGTTAAAATTAGATTCAGCAGGAGGTTGGAACTAGGAATGCTAATTGGAAATAATGCTTATTTCCAATAAGCATGGTCTTGTTAAATATTAGTTTATATATTAGAGATAGTGAATGTTGATGTTAAACATTAGTTTATATATTAGAGATAATAAATTAAATAAAATTTACAGATTTTCTGCATAGGCATTTTATTCAGAGTTGTTACTTTTTAACTCTCTTCAATCATAAGCACATTAAGTGTGGACAAAAAAGGAAGAAAAAAATATTTCTCTTGGCTTAGCAATTGACTTGATGGACAGCCTACACAATTAATTAATAATTTGTGTCTGCAGAGCTATAGTCCTAATGAATCCAGGACATTTTTTGAGAAATTGCTAACAGTAGCAGAATAACAAATAAATAACTATAACACACTATTAAAAGGCTGCAAATTGTTTCTCCTCTTTTACTCTTTTTCCTTGCTTTGTCCTTCTTTAAACTGATCACTTCTTCAAATTTAAAGATCAATGTAAGATATGTGAAAACAAGAAAACAAATACGGTATTTCAATGTTAAGTTTCTAGGGCTGTCGTAACAAAATATCACAGGCCAGGTGGTTTAAACAACAGAAATTTATTTCCTCACACTTCTGAGGCTAGAAGCCCAACATCAAGGTAGTATTAGAGTTAGAGTCTGGTGAGATCTCCCTTCCTGGCTTGCATATGGCCCCCTACTCACTGTGTCCTCACACGGCCCCCCTTTTGCCCATGTGCAGAGTGAGTGCCCATGTCTTTCCTCTTCTCCTGAAGACACTAAAGTCCTAAACTTATGACCTCATCTACCTTTATTACCTCCATAAAAGGCCCCATCTTCAAATACTGTCAGATGAGGGTTAGGGCTCCAACCTGTGAATTTTTGAAGGACACAATTCAGTCCATAACACCTACCTTAATAATATTTTTGTAATTAAAGAAAAATGATGAATTGAACTTGTTATAGGTTGAATTGTGCCCTGCCAAAACAGATATGATGAAATCCTAACCCTTACTTACCTCAGAATGTGACCTTCATTGGAAATGGGGACTTTGCAGATTTTGAAAAGGTGGTTCATGGGCCTTACTTGAATGATTTAAATAAAATGGACTTCAATGATCTATAAGAGCAGATAGTACAAAACTCATTCGTATCATCTTTCTTTCTGTGATAAAAAGCACATAACAAGAGATCTACCCCCTTAACAAATTTTTAAGTGTACAGTATGGTTAACTACAGGCACGATGTTATTAGATCTGCAATGTCTAGTAGATCTCTAGAAATTTTTCATCTTGCATGACTAAAACTATACCCGCTCGACAGCAACCTCTCATTTTCCTGTCCCCCACCCCAACAAACACCATGCTTGATGCTTCAATGAGTTTGACTCCTTCAGATCCTTCACAGAGGTGGAATCATGAAGTATTTTTCCTCCTGTGGCTGATTTAGTCCACTCAGCATACTGCCCTCAAGATTCATCCATGTTGTAGCATGTGACAGATGTGATGATTAATTTTATGTGTCATTTTGACTGGGGGTTTCTATGAGGATGAGACTAACCTTTGAATCAGTAGGCTGAGTAAAGCAGATTGGCCTCCCTAATATGGTGGGCCTCACGGAGTCGGCTGCAGATCGGAAAAGAGCCAAAAGGCCGGATCAGAGGAACTCCCTTCCCGCCTGACTGCTTAATCTGGAAATGTGGTCTTGTCCTGACTTCAGACTTGAGCTGAAAAACTGGTTCTTCTTAGGTCTTGAGCCTGCAGGCTTTCAGACTGGAATTTATTCGGTGGCTCTCCTGGTTCTAAGACCTTCTAATTTGGGCTAAAACAATATCAGCAACTCCCCTGGATCTCTTGTTGAATGCAAATCTTGGGACTTCTTAGCCTCCATAATTGCGAGAACCAATTCCTTACAAGTCTCTGGTTCTGTTTCCCTGGAGAACCCTAATACAATAACACAATAGGCTTTCCTTTTTTATGCCTGAATAATATTTCACTGTATGTATATACTACATTTCATTTATTTTTTCATCCATTTGTGGATATTTAGGTTGTTTTCCACATCATGGCTATTGTGAATAATGTTGTAGTAAATGTGGGAGTGCTAATATCTCTTCAGGATCCTGATTTTAATTCTTAGGATCAACACCTAGAAATGGGATTCCTGGATCATATGGTGATTCTATTTTTACATTTTTTAGAAAACCCATAGCAGTTGTACCATTTTATTTTCCCACCAACAATGAGCAAGGGTTGTAATCTCTACTCATCCTTATCAATACTTGCTA